TATTTGGTGGATTTGAGTCATTCTTATATTGTTAGAATGTTCTGAGAAATGTTCATCTAGGAAGCAGTATCTTCCATACGTGACTAAATGGCCTACAGTTAATAGGCTAAGGCAAACAGTCAAATAAATGGATGTGTGGAAAAGTCTGTCTCTCTTCACAGTCCCTGTGTTTCAAGTTCTTTGAGACAGAACTTAACTTTCTGTCCATCACTTCACTCACTGGTACCAGGAACTGTCAAGCTTACTGGAACTGCCAAGCAACAGAAAAAGCAAATATAATGCAATGTTAATCCACAAATCCCAAAGTAGTAATCTAAAATAGCGCAGCTGTAAACAAAGATGCCAACATGTGCTGAGATGTGCAGCAGTGGAACGTGGCTGTCCTGTCTGACAGATCTAGCAGGGACAAGAAAGAGAAAGCTGACCTGCAAAGCCCACTGATTTTGTCCGAGAGAAGCAGCTTACATGAATCAAGGCTGTTGCTGGTTTTTTAGTACATGAACTGTAAGGTGACCAAGAAAGAGGGTGGCAGGGGGGGAAAGAGAGATGAAAACATCACAGCATTAATTTAAGGAAGACATGTATAAATGGAGAGACTGGAATGTTCTTAAGCCAGTGCCCTAAGCTGAGCGCAGTGACTGCTTCAGCAGTCCTGCATCATTTCACCTCCACCACTGCTCCTTCTCCTATTTTGTATGGTGCTCTTCTTGTAAACTCTCCCCTGTTGTTCCCTCAGATCCTGTGCCACCTGTATCTGTATATAAAAGGCATGTAAGAAGCAAAAATCTGTCAAAGGAAAAATGTAGCAGTTTGATAATGGATATGGAGAGCAGATAACAAAGCTGAAAATGCTGAAAGGCTTAATAGCTACTCTACCTCGCCCTTCCTAAGAAAGCAGAAGAGCAACAGTAACAAGGAGAATGGAAAATGAGAGGTCAGCAGGCAAAATGAAGAAGAAATGAGAAGTAGCTCAGCTGTTCTTATAATGCTGCTCAAGGCTGAGTAAGATTCTGTGATTCAGAGCCAGCTTTTATTTACCTCTCGTGTGTTATGAACAGGAAGGCTGATTTGAGACCTTTGCATAGTCTTTCTTTGCCCTGAAGTATGTAGAAATCATGGTAATTACATCTGGATCCACCCTTCTCATTTTATGACTCTACTATCTAATGAATAGATGGAGGACAGAGCATTAAGCAGAGAAACTATTTTTAAGCGGTCTGGTTTGATACCAGAAATAGCCAAGTCAAGATAGTGTTGGACTCTGCAGGGGTAATTTACTGTGCTAAAAATAACTAGTTTTGAAATTTTAAGCTACTGCTTGCCTATACGTTATAGTATCTAAGTAGCTTCATTCCTACCTGAAGCATCTGTTGCCTGTTGTGGTCATTTTCTTACTGCTTTCACAAATATTGCAGTTATCCAACGTTCTTAGTAAGGCCTGAGGACTCTTTGTTGTAGCTTCTGTACAAAAATGCACCAATGCTTAATCCCTGGCTGTGTTTTCTTGACATAAAGTGAGAAACTGCATCCTAAGAAGAAGGATTTTCATTAGAGAAGATTACCTAGAAAAATGAGAAGGAGTTAGTGACAGCAAACAGTTCTTGCTTGGCAGCAGGATCTCTAGGTGCTGGGATGGGAGTAGGCTGAGAGTATGAAGCCCTGTAGACCTATGCTCCCCTCCCATCCGTATGATTAAATATCCTTTCCCAGTCATTCTTCTGTTTTTATTTTCATGCTATATTTTGCATTTCCTTAAACACCTGGAATGCCTTGCCCAGACTGCTCAGTCAAGCTTGGCTTGTAAGTCTGCCATCTCCCGGAGCCTATAAACCTTTCTTCTTTGTGTAGGGTAAGATTAACTGAGGAGTCATCTGAGAGAGATCCATGTGGTTTTCCTCATTCATTCCTCTTCTGGCTTCTGTCTTTGTCTTGCTAGACTGAAAACTCATTAGGGCAGGAGCATAGTTTTAAAGCTTATTTATAACTTTTAAAATTATTATTATTAATAATAATTATTTATATATAATATAATATTGTGTAATAATAATAATAATAATGCCTCAGGTGTTGTTGACTGCATGTAGGCAAGCAAAATAGTTTATGATCTGATGAGTACTGACCCTTTGACTGCTAGCATAAGTTTG